GGGTCCTCTGATGCTGCCTGGCCTGCTGTGTTCCTCCAGCTCCACACTTCGTTATCACAAGTTCTGCCATGCCTTAGTGGGTCTCCCAATCTCATCTAAGTCAGAAGGTCATGTTTGGCCCCACTCCATGCTAACACTTTAATGCGTTTCTGTACCAGCGGACTGTCAGAGGTGCTGCCTTGTAATTGAGATAGTATAAAGGCCGTTTGTGTTTTGTATCATGGCCAGTTTACATTTACAAGATGTGTCATGATGTGCCGATAGCATTAGCACCTTATACCTGCTTGGCTGAACAGAAGAGACTGCAATGTGCAACTTGAAGAATAGGGAATTTACCTGGTGTACCTGCCCAGTACACCCTTCATTCAAAACAGAATATCTGGTTATTTACCTCATTACTGTTCATGTGGATGTGCCCATGAGTTGGGTGAACATTTTCCCACGTTACAGTGGTGACCTTACTTTGAAGGTACTTAATTGACATAAAGTGCTTTGAAGCATTCCAAGAACGTGAAAGGTACTAAATAAGTGGAAATGTCTTTCTGATCGAAATCTGTCTCTTTCTGTTCCTCTCTGGTAGGTCCAGGCGCAGCCACAGACAATGACACTGTCCCAGGCAGCTACAGGCCAGCAAGTCCAGGTGATTCCTGCGGCTGCTACTGCTCAGGTTGTTCAGCAACAACTTATTCAGCAGCAAGTTGTGACAACAGCATCTCCTCAGATCCAGCCTCCGACCCCACAGAGCCCAGCTCAGCCAGCAGCGACTTCTGATGCCCAAGGCCAACAAGCCAAGGTGCAAGCACGAACTACTGCTCCCATGAGACTGAAAGCCCCGACAAAACCGAACTGAGCTTGTTAAATGGAATGAAAAACCCACTACGTAAAGAATGTGCTCACAGCATTAGCTGGACTGTGCTCAGAACAAATTGTACTAAGTTTGTTTTCACTCCGCTGTGTAATAGCCAATGTATAGAAAAAAGTTGACATGCATAAACTTCACGTACGTCATTTAATACTGAATCTTGATGTTAATGTAACATGTTGATGCGACTGTAAATCTTTTTAACAGATCAATAATTCTAAGGTTTAACCTTGGTCATCTTTGTACATACTATTTTTTTTGGTACATTTTTAATGTGCCCCTGTATTTGTTAAATTCAAAAAGTGGATGTTATAGGCATGTGTTCAGTATTTGTAAATCCATAATGTAGTTGCTGAATGTTAAGTACTTAACTGTAGTTTTTTTTTCATTACGTAAAAGTTGGAAAGAAGCCAACAGCAATGAACTTCAGAATAAGTTGTATTTGACATTCCTTATCTAGGAAAATACACGAATGTTTATTAATGAATTTTTGATACAAGGTTTTTGTATTTTTGTTACATTCTTTTCATTGCGCATCCATGGTTCAGGATTTGTTTTAAAGTGATAATGTTTTATTTTTATTCTGTATGTATATGCACATTAAAAATGCAATCTATGCTACAAAGTTATTTCCTCCAGTTTTTAGTGTACATGTTGTACAGTATTTGTTATGGTTTTGCATAGCATCGTGTTATGACATCGTTAACCCTGTCCTCAAAAAAAATGATTAAAAATCCAATTGTGATCGGCACATAAAAATGATTGAGTAGAATTGTATATAAGTATTTTTGTTAGTCACTCAGTCATGTTGCCTTTAATCTTTCCTTTGTTGAGCCAGATGTAGATTTTTTTTTAAGCAGCCGTGGTATTTTTGTTATGTATGGTAAATTTGGTAAAGGATGATGGATAAAGTTTCAGTGACAGCCCAGGATAACTGAGACCAAAGAGTGAGTGAGTTTTAAGTTTTCAACAAACATGACAGGACCGTTGATTTCCAATGACATTGTGTGAAATTACTGTTACACTGTCAAATTATACCAGATTGTTAGTTGTATTCATAAACCACTGCTACCACATTGTAATAAATTAACACATTTGTAAATGCACTCCAGCTGTTTTTGATAACTTATTTAAATAATATTTTCTCTCTTTTTAGCTCTGGTGTCACGGGCTGTATTATCCTAGGTTGTAGATTTCTTAAGTCAACATCATTGAAACACAACAGACAAAAGCAGAAATTGGCGGAGAAACTCCGGTATGTCAGCATCTGTGGAGAGAAGCTGAGTTAACGTTTTGAATCTGATGTGACTTCTTCAGAATATTCTGAAGGAGCGTCATTGGACTCTAAACATTTAACTCTGCTTTCCTCTCCACAGATGCTGCTAGACTTTGAATTTTACTGTTCTCTGTTTGCTTTGTGTAGTTGTGGCAGAATGATTAGGTGATGGCTAAGAAATCCATTGGAGTTTTCCCATGCAGGTTTGAATCCTGCTGACTATATTTCCTGATCTTGAAGTTTCTCCAGAAATTTCTGTTTTTGTCTCATTTCTCCAGCATCCACAGTTCTTTGTTCTATTCATTGAAATGCATTTATTCTTCAAGGTGAAATAGCCATATAAACCAAGAAGGTCATTTTCAGATGCCCTTAAAGAACCTCCTCTCATCTGGTATGCCCAAGTTGTCAACAACAACTACTTTAATTTGTACAAAGCATTTCAAGGCACTTCACTAGGGCATTATCAAACTTTTTTTTTAAAAAACTCAAGGGAAATGGGTATTGCTGGTACCACAGCATTCATTGTGCAAGCCTCGTTGCCCAGAGTTGAGTGTACCACAATGCTGTGGCTATGGAGTCACATGGAGGCCAGATGGATAAGGATGGCAGATTTCCTTCCCTAAAGGTTGTGCATCTAATGGGTTTTCATGACAATCTATGGTGGTACGTGGTTATCACTAGGCATGCTCTTTATTCCAGATTTATATTGCATGTGAATTTCACCATCTACTATTGTGGGATTCGTACCCATTTATCAAGGACTTATTGGAGTTTTATGTTACTAGTCCAGTGATGTTGCCAGTGCTACCAGCTCTCGCTAAAATAACCCAGCTATGCAATCTGTCAGGACAGGCGGCTAGAAGCTTGATAAGGAGTCATTTGTAAGGAGTATTCTAAAGGAGGACAGATGGGTAGACCGGTTTAGACAGGGATTTCCAGATCTTTAGGACTGAGGCAGTTGAAATGTAGTGGTGAAAATCAAAGAAATGCAAGAGGCCATAATTGGAGGAGCTCTGATCTCCGTGAGGTGTGTGGAGCTGCAGGCAATTAGAGACCGTGAGAGGGGAAGGCCAGAGAGAGATTTGAATGTAATGACGTGAGTATTTTAAAACCATGACTTTGCTGGACCAAAAACCAATCTTGGCATTGGTGCGGGTTATATGAATAGGAAGTCAAATCTTAACCAGTTTCACTTGTTTTTGGATCAGTGGACTGGCTTGCAGAAAGTGTGCCAGATATCATATTTTCTGAAAATCTATAACCCCATTCAGTTCTTCTATTTGTATACAGTGACAGTCTTGTATATGATCTGCAGTAATTGCCAAAGTTTGAACAACAAAGCCCCACTCTCACCCAAACCCTCAGTCTCTGTTTGTAAAAGCACAAAGACAATAGGCACATTGAACATCACCACCTGAGTAGAACAAAGAAAATTACAGCACAGGAACAGGCCCTTCAGCCCTCCAAGCCTGCGCCGATCCAGATCCTCTATCTAAACCTGTCGCTATTTTCCAAAGATCTGTATCCGTCTGCTCCCTGCCCATTCATGTATCTGTCTACATACATCTTAAATGACGCTATTGTGCCCGCCTCTACCACCTCTGCTGGCAACGCGTTCCAGGCACCCACCACCCTCTGCATAAAGAACTTTCCACGCATATCTACCTTAAACTTTTCCCCTCTCACCTTGAAATCGTGACCCCTAGTAATTGAGTCCTTCACTCTGGGGGAAAAAGCTTCTTGCTATCGACCCTGTCTATACCTCACATGATTTTGTAGACCTCAATCAGGTCCCCCCTCAACCTCCGTATTTCTAATGTAAATAATCCCAATCTACTCAATCTCTCTTCATAGCTAGCGCCCTCCATACCAGGCAACATCCTGGTGAACCTTCTCTGCACCCTCTCCAAAGCATCCACATCCTTTTGGTAATGTGGCGACCAGAACTGGACGCAGTATTCCAAATGTGGTCAGACCAAAGTCCTATACAACTGTAACATGACCTGCCAACTCTTGTACTCAATACCCCGTCCGATGAATGAAAGCATGCCATATGCTTTCTTGAGCAATCTATCGACCTGCGTTGCCCCCTTCAGGGTACAATGGACCTGAACACCCAGATCTCTCTCTGCATCAATTATCCCCAGGGCTTTTCCATTTACTGTATTGTTCGCTCTTGAATTGGATCGTCCAAAATGCATCACCTCGCATTTACCTGGATTGAACTCCATCTGCCATTTCTCTACCCAACTCTCCAATCTCTCTATATTCTGCTGCATTCTCCGACAGTCCCCTTCACTATCTGCTACTCCACCAATCTTAGTGTCATCTGCAAACTTGCTAATCAGACCATCTATACCTTCCTCCAGATCATTTATGTATATCACAAACAACAGTGGTCCCAACACGGATCCCTGTGCAACACCACTGATCACAGTTCTCCATTTTGAGAAACTCCCTTCCACTACAACTCTCTGTCTCCTGTTGCCCAGCCAGTTCTCTATCCATCTAGCTAGTACACCCTGGACCCCATGCGACTTCACTTTCTCCATCAGCCTACCATGGGGAACCTTATCAAATGCCTTACTGAAGTCCATGTATACGACATCTGCAGCCCTTCCCTCATCTATCAACTTTGTCACTTCCTCAAAGAATTTATCAAGTTGGTAAGACATGACCTTCCCTGCACAAAACCATGCTGCCTATCACCAATAATGTAAATAGATCGTATCCCTCAGTATCTTCTCCAGCAGCTTCCCCACCACTGACGTCAGGCTCACCGGTCTATAATTACCTGGATTATCCTTGCTACCCTTCTTAAACAAGGGGACAACACTAGCAATTCTCCAGTTCTCCGGGACCTCCCCCGTGCTCAAGGATGCTGCAAAGATATCTGTTAAGGCCCCAGCTATTTCCTCTCTCGCTTCCCTCAGTAACCTGGGCCCATCCGGACCTGGGGACTTCTCCACCCTAATGCCTTTTAGAATACCCAACACTTCCCTCCCTCCTTATGCCGACTTGTAGGAACAGTATCACTGAACATTCATCACAGAGTCGTACGGCATGGAAACAGACTCTTTCGTCCAACCAGTCCACGCCGACCATGTTCCCAACCTAAACTAGTTTCACATGCTTGTGCTTAGCCCATATCCCTCCAAATCTTTCCTATTTGTGAACTTATCCAAATGTCTTTTTAAATGTAACTGTACCTGCATCCAACAGAGCTGCACCAAAATCCTAGAACTCCTGAACAGCATCATGAGAGCACCTTCACACAGACTGCAATGTCTTGTATTACCTTAAAGGCAGTTAGGCATCTTAAATGGTCTTGTGAGTGAGTTTATTTAAAAAATAAACCCTCTGTTAAGTTACTGTTCAGAATTTACAATGTACACTTGAATTTCTATTGGTTTGGTAGCATCTGGGGGGAAAAAACAGAGTTAACGTTTCAAGTCCAATGACCCTTCAACAGTTCTAGGGTTCTAGTGACGATTCAATAGACTCAAAACATTTACTCTGCTCTCTCCCCACTGATGCTGCCAGACCTGCTGAGTTTTGCCAACAATTCCTGGTTTTGTTTCAGACCTTGGAAATATATTGCCATTCCTTCACTGTTGCTAGGTCAAAATCCTGGAATTCCCTCCCTAATGGCGTTGTGGGTCAACCCACAGCAGGTGTACTGCAGCGGTTCAAGAAAAGAACTCACCACCACCTCCTCAAAGGAAACTAGGGACAGGCAATAAATGGTGGCCAGTCAACAATGCCCACTTCCCACAAATGAATAAGAGGAGAAAAACATCTCCATCATCTACTGTTCATTGCATTATTTACATTTCTATTGCTGTGGGTCTGGAATCACATATACGCCAGCCCGGGTAAGGATTGCAAATTTCCTGCAAGTAGGACGCCACTTGGATGTTGAAATCACTGGAAGCATAACACTGATGTATGGAGGTAGTCTCTTCATTTGATTTGTTATCTCTCAAAGACAACATTGTTTCTATCTTTGTAGTGGAATCTAGCATTTATTGGTGAACCTTAGTTTCCCTTGAAAAGATGGTGAAGTGCCACCTGGAACCACTGCAGTGTATGTGGTAGAAATGGATCCTGTGCTGAGGGAGGGATTTCCAGTATTTTGGAGAAATAGCGATATATTTCCAAGTCAAGATGATAAGTGGCTTGGAGGGGAACTTGCAGTGGGTAATGTTCCCATGTATCTGTTGCCCTTATCCTTCTGGATGGAAGTGATTGGGGGTTTGAAAGGTGCTGTACAAGGAGCTTTGGTGAAGTTTTGCAGTGCATCTTGTAGATAGTATCGCTGGTACTGAGCATTGGTGGTGGAGGGAGTGGATATGGTGCCAGTTAAATGGGCTGCTTTATCCTGGAAGCTGTCAGCATTGTTAGAACTGTACTCAACCAGGCAAGCATATCCCTACAATGTAGGAACAGGCCACTTGGCTCAACCAGTCCACACTGACCCTCCAAACAGCATCCCACCTACGTACCCTATCCCTGCATTTCCCATGGCTACCCCACCTAACCTGCACACTATGGGTAATATGGGTAATCCACCTAGCCTGGACGTCTTTTGAGTGGAAGTGCAAGCAGACACCGGGAGAATGTGCAAACTTGCACAGATGGTCACCCTAGGGTGGGATCAAACCTGGGTCCCTGGCGCTGTGAGGTAGCAGTGTTGACCACTGGGCCCACCGTGCTGCCTGGAGCCACCAGTGGGGTACGGTTTACTCTAGTTCCCAGGTCTTCATAAAAGAAACCACTCGCTCTGGGAGAGTCCTTGATCAAGAACTGTGGGTGCTGGAAATCTGAAACAAAGGTAGAAATAGCTGGAGAAACTCATCAGGTCTGGGGGCAGCATCAGTGGGGAGAGAGAAAGCAGAGCTCAGTTCCGAGGAAGGGTCACTCTGATTTCTCTCCACAGATGCTGCCAGGCCCTGCTGAGCTTTCCCAGCGATTGCTGCCTGATCCTTGGGGTGAAGGTTTGAGGAAGGACTCAGTGAGGTCCAGGGCTCAGCCCCAGCCCGTGGAGGGGACTGTCCCTTTAATGGGCGGGCTCTTCCCTAGGCCCCGCCCCCCCACCGCTCCCCCACGTGACCCGCGCCCCCGCCCCCTCCGGATCGGGACAAGATGGCGGCGGCCGTACAGCGCGAGGCGGAAGGTCTCGCCGCGGCCCAGGCCCAGGCCCAGGCCCAGGCCCGGCACCGGCACCGCCTGCAGCTGGTGCTCGCCAGCAGGAAGAACGCGAACGCCGTGTTCGACATCCTGGAGGGGCTGGAGGTGGGGCCCGGGGGTGGGCACAGCAAGATCCCATGGGTGGGCCTGGGTATGGCGAGA